ACTAAACCTTGGCAAGCGCATGGTGGATTTTAGTGATCCTGTCTGCCTGGTGGCCTGCAGAGGTGGTTCAGGGCAGACGGAGCGAATAGCTGTCGAGCTCAGCTACGAAAAGAGGCTCAAAAAGTGGCTTAATTCGAAAACTTCCTTAGTGAAGTTGTAATATTTGCATTTTTCCCCTAGAATGTTCCTTTGAAATTAAAATGTTTAGTTCAGAGTGAGTGGTGAAAAAAAAAATTCTCACTTTGTGAATGGAAATTGATCAAAGATAAGAAGAAACGACGACAGCGTGTAACAAAGGTTACTGAACGAGTCTTCCTCTGAGATGATGCAGGTACAAAAGTTTGATCCCAGAAAAAAATTAATTACTATTCAGCTTTTATTTCATCAGACCGCAGCGAAAAGATATGAAAGATTCAGAAAGGAGAAGAAGAAGACTTAATTTCCCTCAGGCTGATAGAATATCAGTGCCATTTATATCGAGCACAGTCTGGGACTTTCAAACCAAAGCGAAGACTTAAAGACCAATTTGTTCATTTTTCCAAAAATGTCACTTTATAGAGGTTCGATATTTGTAACCTTGACTTTTCAATAAATTACACGTTTAGAGGACTGGTTGATGGCTGCTGCAGTTCCTTCGCTAATTAAGAATAAAATGAACGTAATGGCTTTAACAACAAACAGCAGTGAGATTTACTGGGGGTAACAAAGCGCACAATTTTATTAGCAAACATTAATTTCTTCAAAGTCTCCTTGAAAAGCAGTTGGTTTGATTTGCATTAATGTCCAGAACAGAACCTGCTGTTACAGCTTTGTGACAAACAGAAATCTTCCAAATCATTTTTTTTTTATTAAGCTTATTATTTTTATTATTGCAAGGAAAGTGTAGATTTAGATGACGGTTGCTGCAGACTTGCACATTCTCATGACGGGAGGCATTTTTCTCCTGCGTTTCGTCCCTCAGTGCTCAGTTTTACTGACATTTACCTCAGTCAGAGATGATGTTTCCACTTGTGATGGTTGTTTTTTTATTTTTTTATTTGTATTTTTTAACAGGAAAGCTGCAGTGGAGCTTGAGAAGTTCCAGACTGTTACCTTTTTTTTAAACTAGAAAAATACAGAAATGATTCAATGTTTTTAATTCTAAATCCTATTTTAATTACATTCGTTAGTAAGATTAAGCTATGAATTGATCTTGAAACATTTGCACGTTTTTTGATAATTTAAATTAAATTTTTTCTTGCTTCACAGCTCTCATCTCGTGGGTTTTGTAGTTGCAGTGCAGTTGGTGGCATGCCGTTTATCAGAACATGTTTAATCAAATTGCTTTCACACACGGCTTCAACAAATTGCTCTTTCCATGTCTTCCTTGTTAGCGGCGGCACTGCTGCCAGTAAGTGCCTAAAGATGAGCTTAAAACTGTCTTCTTCTCCCACATTAGCGAAGCTTTGATTTGATCAGTCAGAACAGAACATTAACACGCTTCTGCCCGAGTCTTTTGGTGTGAAGCCACATTTCCACCTTCCGTTGCCTTTGACTCTAATGTAAATTTAGCTGCGCGAAACACAGCATGCTCAGTTTTGGTGCCTTATGTAGGTCAATTCTTCAGCGCTCACTGCTTAGCTTTGTGATGAGTGATTTCATTTTGTGAGGCAACTGCAGTTGTATTATTCATACTCTGAAAAAGACTGGTTCATTAAAGCGTGGCGCTGTCATTTTTTGACTCTAAGATCTGTTATTTTATTTTCCTTAAATTGGAACAAAACTTAACATTAGGTGCTGGTCTGAACAGTTTTGCCTACATCTTTCAAAAGTCTTGTTGCGCTTCATTTCTAGATCCTTTTGTTTTTAGTTAATTTTTTTAAGCACTAACAGATATGAATACACTTTGTACTTTTTCACAGCAGTCGCAAAAAGGTACAGCAATTGTGACTGGAGCCAAAAAGCTCCAGTTTTGCCTCCTCACTCTCAGAAACTTTTTCCAGAAGCTCTGGGGCTCTTCAATGTGCATTTTCATAAATTTCTGTCTGGCTTTTTGTGTGTTTTTCTGCCAAATGTGGAGTTCTTTTGGGTTTTTTTTTATGAAGCCCTTTATGATTCAAAATGTGACAGATGGAGTGATCAGAAAGTGGCATATCTTGACCTTGGAGATCAGCTCAAATGATTTGGGATGGTTTCTGTGGATCTTTTTTTCTTTTTTAAACCATCAGCAGTGGAGGTTGCATTTCCTCTTTTATCCACATCCTGTGAGGTTGTCCACAGCCCCATGGAGCATTGTACTGTTATGCGTGTGCTCAAAGTCAGTATTTTGCAATGCATTGTTGTGTATATACATTAATGCCTACTTAAGTTTTAACATTTAATCAAATTCGTTGTTTGTGTATACTGTGATCGTTACCATCACCAACTATGTATTCCTTATATGGCAACAAATGATCAAATATTGAGTATTATATTTAATCTTTGCGTTCACTTTTATCAGTGTTGTGTGCGAATCCACTCTTACTCTAAACCAGGAGTCTGCAACGTGCGTCTCTTTGGTCCCTCTGCAGCGGCTCTTTCAAGCTTTGAACAAAACTATAAAACTGAATTGTATAGGATGTTATATAATCCACAACAACAACAAAAAAAATACTAGTTTTAACAATTTTCCTGTCATTTCCTTTGCAAATATGCGGATACTAGTACTAATACAAATAGTAACTTATACTCGCTTTAACTTTATGCATTGTTTCTTCAAAGTAGAATACTGCATTACACCACAAATTAAAAAAGATAGAAATGCATAAGCCTGCACAATTCATTGTTTGTTTTTTTGTTTTAATGGGCAAAATGACAGTCTGCAACCTGAAAAGGGAGAAACGGGTAAAATGGATGGATGGAAGGATGGATGGATGGATGGATGGAATCCAGTCTTTTGTCTTAAAATGTAAAAAATATCAAGAAATGTTAACAATCATGGATGTTTTTAGTTTTATAACTTCACACCTACTGGCCAGAAACCCCCCCTCTAACAAACTTAAAATGGCCATGGGCCTCCAGTTGATAATGACAATTGTAGCAGGTTTTCCGGCTCTGGACACGTTTAACTTAGTGAACGAAGGGGCAGAAATGGCTCTTTTGATTGTAAATATTGTAGACCCCTGGTCTAAACAGTGTTTATGTACTACTACTGTACGTTTCAGCTGCTCTGCAGACATCCACCAACATTGCACATTCATGACACTTTGCGCTCACAACGTAAACTACAAGTAAAACGAATTTATAATTATGTATAAAAGTCAATAAAAAGCAGGTGTAAAGAACCAAAAGACTAGAGTCGAGCGTCGACCTGAAATACCGGAAATAGCTATGAATGTATTGTGGGCGTGTTTGATTTTATGCACGTGCATTAGTGCATAAAACGGTTGAACTAATGTTGGCAGATATTTGCAGCTGTGGTCAGAGGAACATTAAATCTGCTTGGAAACTGTCTTGAAGCCTTTACTTTTAACAAGAACATGTCTAATTTACCCATTTGTCTGTGATATTAATTAAGGCCAGACACTTGGTTTGAAACATGACTGTAATGCACAGATTAATAATCGCTTGAAGGGCACCAACAAATGCTATTTTAGCATATATTTGTAAAATAAACTACAACTAATTTACTCAAATACATACTAAAAGCTTGGAGACATACCAGTTTAATAGACAATTTAACTGAATCACTTTTATGAGAAACGAAGCGTTGTGTCAATAGGTGCCAATAATTTTTGTCTGTATATTCACCTTTGAGCTTCTTATTTAGTTTAGCTTGCCAGATATAGATTTGTTCAGACTTTTTCTAACTGTTCGATAACAGAATTGGTTTGTCGAACTTCAGTTTTAGTCCATTCAGGCTCTGCATTCCCAATAGACTTCAAAATCGAACTAAGAGCGACATAATTTTTCTCAAATGAAACAATCAAACACAAGAGGTGAGTAGCGTGAAATTGACCTTCCAAGAGAAACTGTGTGTGGGAGTTGCATTGTGAAGATTTCCATTCGAATCCAGGCTGAATTGATTCTGTTTGGATCTCTCTCTCTCTCTCTCTCTCTGTTTGTATGATATCCAAATCACTTTAATGCCCTTACAAATATTACCTCTTGGTAGTTGCACTTTATCGTCTGCTAGATTATCACCAGTTGAGATAAAATCAAGTCTTTTCTTAGGTGTAGCTTATCCATGTTTGTTGCTTCAGACCTCCATCAGGTCCCGTATAGCTTTATGGTTCTGTCTCTTCTGTTGATCTAATTGGATACACTCTGTTGCTTTCAATGAATCATTGCCGGACCTCCTCTCTCGCCTCAAGTACTTACTTTTATTGAATGCAGGGTCCCCCTGAATCTTAAGGCGCAACCCTTAAAATGTGCATTTGTCCCTTGGCTTCAGCCATTGATTCTTATTCTTTTCTTTTTTTTCCAGCCCTGTGCATCAGGATCACTTTTATTCTAGCTGCAGATTATAGGTCTGCTTTTATGTCTCCTGAGAAAAGGCCGCAAGTTCATACCGTTCTCCTCACTCCACTAATTGACTCCTAATTTGACGAATGCACTTAAAGGCCAGATGAAAAAGCCGACTTCTCTTTGGTTTCACATATAGAGATGACATTTCCAGCCCCGCTCCTCATATCTGCCCTTGGCCGCTGTCGAAGCACTCAGCTCGGCAATGGCCCGTCTAAAACGGAGGTGAAACACCGGCGTTCTAGTTTTCTTCAACAAGGCGAGCATCGCACTCTGCTGATTCCAAACAGCTGCAGGAAATCAGCTTTTTGCTGTGACAATCGAAGGAAAAGATTTTTTTAATTGCTTGCCTCGCTGCAGAGTGGAAAGGCACGCGTTTTGCCTGTGGGTATTCAAATCGACTTGAGTGTATGATGTTTTAATGAGACCGCCGTGTGAATGATTTGTTGCGATTGTGTACGCTTGAAAGCCTAATTTGTTTGTTTCTTTCCCCTCTCTGTTTTTTTTTTTTTTTTCAGTGGATGTATTCTCAGTTGATTCAGAGGCAGATTTAAGATTTTCCAGACAGACCAGGATGTCAAAGATCTCCAAGTCAGCAAAGGCTGTGAAGAAATTGAACGCAGCAGGTGTAATCCGAGCTATAGTGAGGTCAGGACAAGCAACACCCGGACCCCCTCTGGGCCCCATCCTGGGACAGGTAAATTAACTGCAATTTTGTTTCGTGTGTCATCTATTTGCTCAGAGTAATCGCAAGTGTTACCTTAATTGTGGGAGCTGTGCTTCATTTTATTAGCTGACCTTTCTCACACAGCTTTCATTAGCCGTGAGACAACCTGTTCTTTTCTTCTTCTCACTTTGCCAATCACAGACGTCCTTTCCCCCCTCACTGTATTCACACATCTCCTTTCCATCTCCTCTTAAAGCCGAGTTTTTGTTTCTTATTCTAGTCGCACAGCTTTAAAGTGTGGGTTTTGTGCCATGCACTGCCTCTGTCTGCAGCCGTTTCCTCAGTTTCCAAGCTAAAGTCACTAACGCCTCCATCAACAGCAGCTGTCCATGTGCATTAGTCTTCCTCTTTACAAGCTGGTAAATGAAATGGGACAGAGCGTTTGATGGTTTCGTCTTAAATTCTTGTGTTCTTCTTTCTGCTTCAATTGCTCCACAGAGACAACTGAGATTGTCTGTTTTTTTTATTGCTCGGGGATGCATCACTGCAACTTCTTCCCCAGTGATGCCAATTCCAACCAGAACAATGTATGTTAGCTGGAAATGAGAGGATAAGTCAGCAGTCTTCAGACAAAGGCTAATTTTATATTTGTTGTTAAAAAAAAAGAGAAAGATATCTGTATAGCCGTTGACGTTTCTTTCTAATTACGCAGCTGAGTCTTTTTTATCTTTCCAGTAAAACTTTTATTTAAATTTTGCACCATAAAGCAGCAACCTGCTCCTGCTTTAAAGGCTATTATGTTATTAAAGGTTGATCGGCCTTTTCAGTATTGAATGAAAGCAGCCGCGTGGTTCGTTCTGTACATACAAATGATCTGGTTATCCTCTTTAATGGACAGTACTCATCAGCCCTGAATGCCGCTGCAAACTTGGAAACCAGATCAATTCTCACAGCTAATCCATCTCTGTGACTTAATGGTGGCATTTTGACAGGAGGGTGGAGAAGTGAACAAAAAGCTGGCAGACAATTTTCAGAAAAATGCAAATGTAAAGATTAAATGAAGGAGATAATGTAAAGCAATAGAGTTTTCTTATCGGCACTGACAGGTAGCGCCATTATTTTAGGCTTCGGTTTAAAACGCACTATGTTGTTACAAGCTGAATAACTAAAGCGGTTTAGAGTTTGTTGCATCACAGAAAGAAAAGTTTGTTTTTTTCACCCCACGGCCAAACACAAATGATTTAAACAGTTGCCAAGTGTATGAATTTTGAAACAATAGAAAGGATGTGCTCTGAGATCTTGGAGACGTATCCACTGAGGATGCTGACAGACAGACGTCTGATCAGAGCTGAGTTTATTTGAATTGAACCAAACGGCTTCGATACTAAATCACAAACTGCAGATGTTCAATGCGTTGGTCCCCTTCCAGCTGTGGATTTAAATGTACTGGATGCCACGAAGCTGCTTTCAGATATCCAGCTTGGTTTGCTACACACTCAGAGAGCTGTAACAGAGCTGATGTGCAGGTGGAAGATGAACCTCTTCCTCCTTCCCATTATTCCTCACAGTTCAGATATTATAATGTCAGACACATAATTAGTTCGAGGCTGAGATGTTTCAGGGCGGTTTTTGATTGTGTTGGGTGTGGAGTTGGCATTTGGTTGCTTTTAAAAACTTAATATAGAGCATTTATGACGTATATTTCAGAGCTGCTTAAAAATCCTGGACAGAAAACCACAACGTTTTCGTTAAAGGTTGTTTTACAGCAGACGTTCTGACTTCAACAAGTCAAACAAGCAAAGGTGTCACATCTGCAGCTGTTGTGTGAAATGTGCAAAAGCAGAGCTTGTAAAAATACTCGGGGCTTATCTATATTTTTCATATCAGATTTTGTGCCATGTTCACTATAACACGAAAAGGTGAAACACCCACACCTGTCTCTGCCCCTCATTTGCCCACTCTTGGCCCTTGAGCAAGGCCCTCAACCTCCACCATCTGCTCCTTAACAGGTCTCTCTTGAAAATGAGTTCTTGTGACTCAATGAGACTACCTGTATAAATAAAGGGTAAATTAAAAAAAATATATATATAGTTTTTATCTTCTTATCAATTCTGTTTCAACAAATTTCAGCAAGGTTATTCAGCACTCAGCCTTCGTTTATCTTGCTATACATTATCCTCTGTAGTCACATTTAAAAGATGGTATGCTTGACTAAAAACACTGAACCCCTCATTGCCTCCGGTGTGTGTCCCATCATTGTATGAATGTGATAAAGCACTTTGTATAGATCTAGTAGAGTGCTGTGTGAATGTGTAAATGAGGGCACAGATTGTAGTATAACGTGCTTTGAGTATCTTGATAAGATAGAAAGGTGCTACATAAGTACAGTCCATTTAAAATATATCAAACTGCGAGTAGTTTGATCAAATATGACCCGATTGTCAAAGAGCATAAAGTGTGAGATCAAATGCTTTTGGGATGGTTAATTTTTACATTTATATTTGTTTATTAAAATTCCCTACCAAGAATATAAAAAGTCAATAAGCCAGTGATTTGCCCTGTTCTGTTTTAAGTTCTGACCACTCGACAGAAGTACAGTTGTTTCTAAACGCACAACGTTTGCATGCCATTTCACGTTTGTTTCCCCCTGTAAAAGGCTTCTAGCTGTGAGTGCTTTTTTAAATTTGATCTTTGGGTTAGAAGCCTGGATCATTCAGATCTTCTTTGTCATCTTTTATTGTCTTTGTATCAGACCATCCAACGTCACCATTGCAGTTTACAGAGAAAATCGCCATTCAGGAGCTTGAGCCCACCTCCTCTTCCATTTAGTTTTAAAAAATACAACACTTCATTTATTAGTTATCTAAAAAGATGCTAATTATTTTTGGAAGCAGGATTACAGATGAATAATTTAAGATTTACATCAAGTAGCTCTGTTCAGAGCAGAGTAATTCAGCCTCCTATCATCCCTGCAGCTGCTTCCATACCTGTTCTTTTTTTTTTCTAAATTTTAAATGATTTATAAAGACAGAGTCTGTGCGGTGGCTTTGCAGATGGCAGTCTTTCCCTTAATGAAAGAGTTTTCTCTAAGTAATTCAGTGTTAAAAAGAGGAGCTTTTAACATCACAGCAGTGAAGAGGTTATACTTCTTGCAGGTTTGCCTCGCCGGAAAACATTTTATAAATGGATAACATGATTAAATGAAGCAAAAATAACGCATTCAAGTCGGCAGCTCTTCTTGGCTCCGCTGAGCGCATCGACCTCTTTACGCTCATTTTGGTTTTTAAGTTTTCGTCTTTGTGCTTTGGTTCAGGCTCGCTGCTGTTGATGGTTGTAGTGACGCATTTAGCAGCTAAATGGTTGGAGTAAAGCTGGACTCAGAATCATCAGAAACAGGACTCTGAATGAACACTTTACACATCTGTCTTTTGATTGTGTAAATAAGGTGCGTTTTCCATTAAAAATAAACAAAAAACTAATAAAAATGAACATCGATAGCAAATATTTGCAGATTATTTTGCTTTGCAGGCACCAGAAAAATCAAAGCAGAGTTGACTTAGGTCACATTAAATTACAATAGCTTTCCTTGAAGGATTGCATCAACACACAGTCTTTCTTGCCAGAATTGTGAAAAAATTGGCCAAACATTAAAAAAAAACATCATGTGCAATCACATGCAATATTCTGAGATGCCATGGTCAGTGTGTGAGTGACCCAACTTCTAACAAATCGTATTTTAGCTCAAAATGTAAAATTAACTGAGTTAAAGCCATTTTTGTGTTGACTATTGTTAATTACTGTTGATGTCTTCCTGACTTTGGCTGTAGAGGTGCATCAACTGATAAATATCTTTCAATAACATTTGCTCAGTGTTTCATGATATTTTAGTCACAGACAGGTACAGGCAAAAACACGATTGATAATTAGTATTTAAGCCTTTTTTATTTTCAATCAAATACATTTTTATGTGGGGAATGTTAAAATTATTCAAACATCACAACTGCAGAACAAAGTCACCTGTTTTTGTCACTGAAGTGTCGTCATGCCAACACAGTTTTAAAAAAGCAGAAATACAGAATACAAAGACTTCATGGCTCAATAGACGAAAAAGCATCAAACAACTCGACAATACTGTTAGTCGCTTGGTGACGTTAATCTTCAGTTCTTCCATTTTTCACTTGAGAAACTTGTTGTCAGAACCAGTTCGTGCAATTCCAACATTTTATGCTTTCCAGCATGTTCGCTTCCAAAAGGCAAAAAATAAAAAAAACTTTACGATGTCCAGATAAAGCACCACTTCACGGTAAAGTAGTGGAGTGAATTTATGCTTTAATTTTAGCCCATTTAAAAGTCTTTTTGTCTCGGCTCACAATTTAGGCTCTGCCAAGTGAGAGGACTTTATGAAACCAGTTTTATTATCTCTGCTCTATTTATCAGTTAGATGTGATTAATTATTTAAAGATTTTTACGAATCACGTCGAGCAGAGCTAAATCTTCTCTGTCTTTTATCCACATGTGGAGATCTCCCTGTTCCTTCTGAAGACTTGCTGGGAATAATAAATAAATAAATAAACTTTTATTTGCAGCAATATGTACATTTTAAAGGTTGACTGAAGACCAAATGCACAGTTAATTACCAAATACTGCTAACCATAAAGCATTTAATCACATTTACCATTGAATTCTGTTTAATTTAAGCGGAAATCTGTTCTTGGCTGCCAGTCGATGTGTTTTTATCGACATCTTTAAGCACGTTTTAGTTTAATCCCTGGTATCATATAAAAGCTGTCAACATCTGTGGGAGTGCGTGGTATTTTTGGGCTCGTTTCTAAACACACTACCGCTGGAATGTGATTAATTTGAGAAATCTGTAGTTGGTTGCGTAGATTTTAAATTCAGCGGTTTTATTTCTTGGCTTCTATAAGTTTGCAGTTTGGTTTTTACTGTCTCGGTTTCTGTGCCTCGTTTTACCTTTGAACGCTTGTTCCTTGCTGTTTCCTGTCAAGATATTCTGTTTGAGTGAGGCGGGT